AACGAACTACACCACCAATACTACTACTACGACTACTACTACTACTACTACTACTACTGCTACTGCTACTGCTACTGCTACTGCTACTGCTACTGCTACTGCTACTGCTACTGCCGCTGCCACTGCCACTACCACTGCCACTGCCACTGCTACTGCTACTGCTACTGCTACTGCTACTGCTACTGCTCCTGCTACTGCTGCTGCTGCTACTGGCTGCTACTGCTACTACTCCAACTATTACTACTACTACTACTACTACTACTACTACTACTACTACTGCTACTCCTCCTCCTCCTCCTCCTCCTCCTGCTGCTGCTGCTGCTGCTGCCTGTACAAGTATAAGCCGTCGAAAGGAATTGGGCTTGGTTCAGGGCCGCCTGGCGGTGCTCCTCGGACTGTCTGAGCTCTTCCTGCGATTGTCTGAGTTCCTCCTGTGACTGGCGGGCGTTTCGCTCAAGCACGACAACTCGGGACCGCTCTTCCTCGAAGTTTTCCAACTCCACGCGCAGGAGCCGGTTCTCTTCCGTGAGCTGGTCGATCTCTCGCTGCTTTTGGGCCAGCATCTTCGTTTGATGATTCTGGGCCTCCCGACCCGCCTGTTCCGCTCTTTCCCGCTCTGAAAGAGTGGCCTTAAGGCTGCGAGAATCTGATTGCAGCTGCTTGAGCTGCCTTTCCTTCTGCTCTAAGAGCTCCTTACTCTGAGATTTTGATCTTTCGAGCTGCCGCTCTTTTCTCTCGGATGCTTTCAGAGCTTCCGAGAGGCGCCGGCACTCCTCCTCCAAGTGACTCCGCTCTTGAAGAGCTTGGGATTTCGATTCCTCTTGAAGCTCCAAAGCCTGCTGCAGACCGTCTTTGTCCTGACCCACCCTATCGATCTCCAGCCTCAGGTCAGCAATTTCCCTCTCGAGGAGAGTCTGCTGTTCAGACTTTTGCTCGAGCTCTGCCTGGATCACCAAGTAGGCACTGCGAGTCTTCTCGAGCTCCAGTGCCAGGCTCGACGTCTTTTGCTCCCGACTCTCTCGGTGCAGTTGCTCCAAAGCCTCCAAGCGCAGCCGCAACTCGCCGGCCACTGGCGGCAGAGGTGGCTGCGGGAGCTCCAAGCCTGAGAGCCGAGACGACACATCGACCTGGGGGTTTCCGAAAATAGGGGACCCTAATATAGTACCCTAAAGAGTAGGATGCTTATTATAAGGTACCCCTTGTTTTCACAAACTCCCACCTGCTGGATCACAGGGGGGAGGCGCCAGAGCCGTGCTCGGGGCGAGAAGCCGGGCCAGCGCATGCCAGGGGAAGGGGGCGGCTCGCTGCCGTAGCGGCGGCGTGCTCGTGAGCTCCCTCCTTTGGCATCAGGTGAGGATGGCAGACTCAGTCCAGAGCGGATCCTCGCCGTCGTCTCGGCTGCCGCATTCTCGAAGGCGACCCAAGAATCTACCGGTGCAAACTTTGGCACCTGAGGCAGATTCGGATACTTCTGCTCTGACCAGGGCGGCGGCGGCGGCAAACGGTCACCATTCATGGCGAGAACATGGTATCATTGACGAGCCAGTCTTCTGCTTGCATTGTGTCTGTGGTTATTGCCTGGCAAATTGCCAGTTGGAAGTATCATGCTCGCTGTGCTGCGCCGTAGAAACTTGATACGCACCGCGGTTTTCCACTTCATTGGCCAACAGCTCGCCAGTGCTGCTTGAGACAAGCACATTGCATTATCCAACAGCGGTCCTTGAAAAGCATCTGCACTACCTGGAAGTCACTCTCGGACAGCACCGAAGAAGTCCTCTGACTCTGCCTCTGAAGCTAAGGGCGGAGCAATGCGAGCGCAACCAGGGTTCAGAGATTTTGGGAGTTTGGGGCTTGTGGATCGCGACAGCCCTTGCACCCGGTCCTGTATCACAGTTTGCCCGGACGCGGCGGCCCAGCAATTGTCCCTGTCACGCTTCCGACATCTTCACTTTTTGAGGAACTGCGTGAGAAGGCTTGCGGGTTCAAACGTTTCTGCAGTGTTTAAGGTGCCAACCCTTGACTTTCAACCCAGAACGCCGGCCGGCTTAAAGCCTCAATGCAAGCGATCCTCAGAAAAGGCTGTGTATCCCGACGCCCAAAACTCCAACGTGCCTTTCTTGAATCGTGGGGGAGGTTATAAGAACCGAAAAGCGAAACAAATTTACGAACGTGATTCACACCCACGGACAGAGGTGTTGCGCGATTGTGCTTCGAAGCTTGCAGGTCTGTCAAGCGCAATCCCCTCACACATTCCAGTGCGGAGAGGCACTCTCATAACTGCAGTTTTAAATAGCGTATCTTGTATATGGGTCCTTGTAGGTTTGCAATATACTACTAGCCAGCCCAACGACTTCCAGCCTTGTTTGGAAACTCGTGTGACGGCAATTGAGCCGGCAGCTTTCATGAAGATTTAACAAGAGTAACTTCGGGTGCTCGGTAGCTGAAACTCAAAACACTATCCGGCCGAAGTGGTTGAAGCATGTGCCTGATCCGCAAAACTTGCTCCGCTGAGCCAGCCGAGGCAAAACGCGACTGGCAACATGTCCGTGTGCTGGAGCTTGTGACGCTAAGCACGCAGAAGATGCAAATGCCAAGGGTCTCCTTTCAGGGTTCGTCCATGAAGGTTTGGAGTTTGCAGTTCTGGGACGCAAACCCTCTCAAGGCATTTGCTCTCCCACAGTGGCAACTATAATGCCGACTGATCAGGAGTTGCCGCCTTTACAGCTTCGGGAAACTTCTCCACGGCAACTGGACGGCTTAGGGGATCACCTGGAAAGGTAGGGAAGCGCTGGTTTTGTGGAAGCACGTAAAGTTTCCGACGCTACACGGCATAGTGAGCGCACGACATCCAGTTGCCAAGACAAACAAGCTACGGTTGCTGCGGATCCTCTGATACCCTGGGAACTCTGTGCTGCGCACTCAGGAGCCAGGCTTCTTGCCTGAAACCTGCATCAGGAAACACATCCAAACTCAGAGCGATGTGGCGCACTCTCTCCCTGGACCAATGAGCATCCCGCCTCAGCAACATAAAGCTTCGCATACTCCAAAACGCGGTCAGCTTCCGCCTGCCAGTGCGCGTGGGAGTTCAGACTCATGCTAAACCCTAACCCTCCAGGTACCTACTATATAGGGCCTGAAGGGGCTCTAGTACCCTATATTATATAGTAGGTACCTGGGGGGTTAGGGAAAACCACCGCCGACCATCGAATTGAAGCTCGAGAAGTAGGGAACTTCCTCGGCGCACTCTCTCAGCACCACAAGCCTGACCAGAAAAATATGCAACCCCAAAAATCCGAAGAATTGACACCTTCACACTCAAACCTATGTCAAAAAAGCTGCTATAACAAACGCACAGCCGACCTCAGTTATCTTCTACCCCAAGATCGAACAGTATTTTAAGGCATCCTCAGTCCTAACTGATTCCGGTTTTCGCGCGCTGCAACTCTTGCCTTGAGAACCGTCTGCTGCTCGCCCGTCTCCGGAAGGTCTGTTCGCAGAACCTGCGAGGCTTTTGGTGGAAGAGCGCTTGACGGCTAACGGTTAGGGTTAGAAGTTTAGGGTTTAAAGGGCTAGAAGGCATCTTTGCTTACAGCTTCAGGGCTAACTGTGGAATTGAAGGCTTTGAGGAGTTGCGGGGTGCTCCATCTCTCTTTCCAGAGCCGGCTTCTGGTCTGGGGAGTCCGCACGATGTTCCTTCGTCTCGATGTTGGTGCTTTGACTTTGACACTTGAAAAACTTGCTAGCTTCAGGACTTCAGACGTAAATATAAGGAAACTTGTTTTTGAACCCGGTGTGTGAATCCGAAGCGCCCTACTCCTTCCTTTCAGGCGTTAAGGGGTGCCTCTAAGGGCTGCGACAACCATAAGCCTTAGTTGGCCTTGAGGGCCCGGCATAAGGGGTTCCGATCAGGGATAGAACAGAATCCTAAAACTCCTAAAGAAGCCAGCCTAAACCCTGAACCCTCAACCCATGGAGCCCTAAACACGATATCAGAGTCCTGATCATCCTAAACCCACGTCTCACCCCTTCCCTCCAAGACCTCCTCGAGTTCCTCGGCCGGAAAGAGTCGTTCAGGGTTGTTTTTAGATAATTGGGCGACGGCGATAGCCATGGTAGTAGTGATGTTCATCGTTTGGGAGTTAACATTTGGGGATAGCGATAGTGATGGGAATGGAGGTGCTGACGATGATGGCCACGAGAATAGCCGTACCTGTTGTTTGTTCTGGGTCCTGCTCTCATCACGACCACCAAATACCAAAAATATTTTGGAATGCACTTCATCGTACCGCTCACCACTAGCATTCAGAAATCAAGCAAAACCAACACGGGGTCGTGTTACGATAACTATGTAGTGGTGGTGGCAGTGGTAGCGGCAGGGGTAGGGGTAGTGATAGTCCTAGTTTTCGCGGCTTGTTGTTGCCTGCGTGGTGTAGTAGCAGCAGTGGTGGTAGTAGCAGTCGTCGTCG